CTGCGGCTTTCTCGTTGCTCGGCACCATTCTTCTTGGTACTCGCGACGAGCTGGATCTGCAAGTTTAATGCTCGTTTGCTGCTAGGCGGCGGTCGAACGATCACAAATGTCTAACCCCCGGACAGAGATCAGAATATGCCGGTGACGGTTGTGCAATACACGTGACTCACCTCTGTCTCCCCTCTTCTTTTCCCCTTTAGCCCTCTCTTTCCCTCTTTGCGTGACCGAATCTCGGTTTCCCTGTCATATTTGACTCTTTCGCCATGCTTCCACACGAGTTCATCAACAGCATTCTTCTCGAGGTTTGGGCTTCCACTTTGATTTGATGAAGCTGAACTGCATGAACGTAGAACCGACGGTCTTCCAGACGCTATCGGCGTGTTTTCGACCGAATGGACTGTGGCGTCGTTCTCAGAGCCTGTCTCGGTTGCCAGTGATCGTGACGGCGCATGTATGGTGTCAACGTCTTCTGCAACCGGCTGAGACTTTGAGAAGAATGTCGCCTGCAGAGAGGGCAAGAGTGCAGCAAAGGTGCTCATGGTGAGGTCGCCAAAGGTGTATGTATCGAGGTTACGGTGGAATTGGTCTGCCACCGTGCCGCGATGAGGCCCCGAGTCATCGATCGAGGTATGGTGTGATGGGTGGATGGAGGAGAATGTGGCCACTGTGGATAGTTCGGCGATGTCAGTGCCCGCTGTGTGCTGCTGGTCGTGTGTGTCGAAAACACCAAGGGACGACCCCTTTGTCAAAGGGTTGTCGACTAATATGAATCGTACGAGAGTCGCCGATGTTTCGTAGATTAGTTTCAAGTGTTCCATCGGCGCGCGTCCCTGCGGCGCCGGAGCAATTTTCGCGCGTGAAATGACTAATAAGGGCTGATGGCGGTGCTCGGGCTAAACGGGCTTGGCAGCCCTGGTGGTTCGACTTCGGAAGTTGATTCACTACCGGGAAGCGGGGCGGGGGCCGTTCCGGCGGCCTGATCAACGAGGCGGAGGAGGCGATAGGACGGAGTGGCGAAGCTATCATCAATGGCACGAACGATGTCCAAGGAGTAAAAGTAAACCTACAGTACAAGAGGGCAGGACAGACCTTCCGTCAGGTGGGCTTGATGGTCGTCAATCCCTGGTGATCAGGGAGGAGGCGGAGATGGAGTTTCCTAGAAGATGGGCGTGTTCTCTGTAGAAAACGCAGGAGATTCACGGGGTAGAGGCATGTGATCTTGACGAGTATCACCAAGTTCTCTTACAACTAGCAACGATACAGGTCTCCCTGTGGCTCTATATAGAGAGATCACAGCCAATGGCCGCTGAGATGGCTTGGGCAGCTGCTTAGGTAGTCTCCTGCAGCCAGGTGACTACATGACTAACCCCTATTAACATCCTCTTTCCTTCCGAGTGGAAGAAGATGAGGAATAAGGAGGCAGGAAAATCGATTCCGTGAAGGCCAGAACGCGACGGAGGGCGGAAGTTTACAAATCTTACTAATGTGTCTTGTTAGTCACAGCCGGCCTATGACGCATCCGTCGGGCACCGTCGACTGTGACCGTCGGCTCTGCTATTAATGAAAAATTGTAGTGCCGTGAGACGTACGTGTCGACCAGCAGTATGTACTGTTCCTCTGAATCTCGGGACCATACATACCATACTGCGATCCCGGCACACTATTGGCTGCGCTCTCCACCTAACGGCTTCGGTCTCGATGAACTGCTTGCCGCGAACGCAGACGTGTATGCTATATTCGGTCTTCTACTACGCATTGCTCACAACCAGTTCTTCCCCGCTTCTGATGATAACATTGTCCATAGACCCTTTCTCGGCTTCATCTAGGCCGTAAATTTCTCAGTGTGCGTGGAAACACGAGGAGCAGGTGCCAGGTGCTTTGAATACGTTCTGGGTAAAGCTACCAAATCCTCCCTTATCAGAGTTTGATCAATTTGAGGAGGAAAAAGCTAGCACACTTACTCATCACACCCGCACGTCGAGCAGTCAGCTACCGTATGAGGTCCTTGTCTGTTTCCGCTGTCACCACTTTCATCGTCGGTGCCACCAAATGGGCTACCCCGATGGCTGCCTTTCCGTGACGTCGAACTATTCGGCATACCTAACCCTGTTGGCATGACCATCCGCGGCCCTGTCATACCGTTCCCTTCGGAAGGCATCTCGAAGGGCGACTCCGACGGGGAACTGGACACCGCAGAGGATATAGCGGTACCCGTTTGAGTTAGTCGGCGAGTAGGAGGAGGCGGCGCGGGCTTCTTGTTCTGCGATGATAAGGAGGTTGAAGAAGCCAGTCGGCTTGAGTCAGAGAGTGCTGGACGGGCAGTTCCCGTCTCCTTCTGAGACTGATAACCATTACCTTGAACGTTGGAATGGCTAGAATTATCGATTCCAGTGATAGGTGGAGGTAAGTTTCTAACGGTTGTTGGCGCAGCAGCGGAGGAGGCCCTGGGAGGCAACGTTCGCGGTCGTTCGGCGGATGGCAGGGGTGGAGGTACGTTGATATTCGAGGATTCCGACAGGGAATGGTGATCATCTGAATCCTCTTCGTCAAAGCCAAAATCGACTCCATCATCTCCTGCTGCACCTTCGTATAGCTCCGTGTAAGCTGACGGGAAGAGACCACTTTCACCATGTTGGTTCTCTCCAATCCACCAGTCAGGCGACACTTCCTTCGTTACTGTCACGATATCCCCGTTGCGGATAGTCAATTCGTCCATCGCCTTACCCGAGTATTCGAACAAAACCCGGACTTGATGTGCGTGGACCGGGTCTTGTACAACGGGCGGTTTACTCGGTTTCCGTATCGCAGGTGCAGATCGATGGTTCATTTTCGTGGTACTGGAATATGAACGATCCCGTCCATAGGTGGAGAATCTGCTGAGCTCCCCGTCGGTATCGGATTCGTCATCGTCAGAATGGTCGTTCAGGTTCCCCTCGGCTTGCGGCAACGAATGAATAGGTGCGTCTTCCTGATCGTTAAGAGAACCATACTTCTTCATAGATGGGTACCTCCTATCCACCGGTATGGCGGCGCCTTTGTCCTTTTTACCGAAAGACCCAAACGCGCCCATGAAGGATTTGGTTCGACTGCCGGTACTGACATTGCTTTGCGATCTCTCACGGTTCACCGCGCTCGATTTCTTCTTATCCTCATCTTCGGAATCGTTGGAGCGAGTGCTGTATCGTCGAGCAGATAAAGCCGGTCTTTTCAGTGGGCTGGATATCTTAGGCACAGACACTGTACGGGATAGAGGGGCCTTGCTAACAGCTGATGTTGATTTTGATCGAGGTCGACTTGACGATGAGGAAGAGTTACCACTGGTGGCGCGGCAGAATTTCAGTAGACGATGCGGTTTCTGCTCTGGATGGAGATCAACTCACAGGGAACCCCATTCTGTCCTCAAATCTTCCAAGATCTCGTGATAATGTTTCACGAAATCCAGTTCTGCTTCCAGCAAGTCTGTGAGATCATTGATCAATGCTGCTTCACTTTCTTGGACAGTCGCCATTCTCGCCAACGTGTCCTCCTGAATCTCATCACTGATTGGACACCTGATTAGTCTGGGCATGGGAGAGGTCAACGAGAATGTACTCACAACCTCGTCTGCGCCGTATCGACTTCCTCCTCCATTGCCCTCGAGTCCTTCTTGCTCGTGTTCAACTTTCTTGTTGCGGCGTCAAGCGTAAGCCTACAGTAATCATAACGGACGCCGTCAACCATTATGAACGGAGCCGTAGGGCTCGATACAGGCAACATCACGTACCTTCGAGAGTCCAGTTTCTTCCGCAGTGTCTGGTAATCCTGCACTACAGCAAGGGCACTTTCCATTCCTGATATATAGCCTTCCCCAACTCGGTTTGCGTATTCATCTTGGACCTACTGAATGACATTAGCAATCGACGTAGACCGCCGGAATTTACCACGTACCATTGCTATTTTGCATTTTGCTCTGCCAAACTTTTCCAGCCTCTCTGCGTACTGCCGATCCCCAACGTGATCTCGAAGCATTTCTTGTCCATGCGATATCATCACCAATCCAAGGGATTCTCCAACGAAGAACTGCTCCTTGGGGTTTGAGCCGTCATCTGGATGCGGATCGGCCGATGGCTTCTTCTTAGAAATGTTAGAGTGATACGGTATAGACGTCGCATGTAGGCTGTACGAAAAGAATGATCAGTGATGAAACGAGTATGCAAGTGAAGGTAACTATAAAAAACATACCGTTCAATTCCCTTCTTGCGAAGATTGATCTCCCGCTCATACTCGACGAACTCGCTTGACAGTTCTGTCTTTCCCTCCTTGAAGAAGCGCTCCCCTGTCCACTACAAACAGCGAGAAATGTTCATTTGGTTAACATGTCGACTTCCTTTGGGCGTCGAAGCGACTCACCTGGCTGAACTTGTCAATCTTTTTGGGGTGACGCGCAACGTCAATGTCAGAAGCGCCAGCTGAGAAGAATGAACGGGGAGTATAAAGGACAGAGCTTAACTCACCTGTTTAGTGTACCGCTTCATATCGGATGATCAACTATGATTTCTTTGTGTGAAAGCTGATTACGCAGTCGCGAGGGTTCAGCTAGCGCGAACTACTGAGCGTTCTGTCAAACACAGTGAGGACTATCCCAATCCTTACAGGGTACCACTATTGGTTATCCCCATTGTCACTCCGTTAAAGAAGCTGTCTCCCTGGCTGGTAGTTGGCTGGTCTCCAAAGTGCTCGATGCTCGTTCGACGCGTCAAACATTAGCCTCCGAAAGCGGGGCTCCAAGAAGAACTGTTTTATACGTTATTCCGCGGACAGCTCGCCGATAACTGCTCAGAATACTACCTTCTTCCTACAGAATATCTCTTGCTAAGAAAAACGAATCTCTCTGATACGCATAGAGCAGACAACTCGCCGCTCTTCTGGCTATCATCCGAAAAGTTGCTCATCATGGTAAGATTCATTCAGCCGCCCTCCAAGCGTGACTAGATTTGTCTTTATTGGTTTTCTGGATATTCGCCTGTATGGCCAAGTGGTAAGGCACTGCACTTGTATGCTCATTCCCACATGGGACACAGTGTTCATGCAGCGATCCCTCGTTCGATCCGGGGTGCAGGCAATTCTTTTTGTCGAAAGGCGCCCCAAAGGATGCGGGATCGATTCTTCAACGCTGTTTCGTTGTTGCAACCGCTATGGCAGATCTCATGGTCCTGGACTGGGCGGGAAAGTTTTTATTCCATCAAGCAGATTGTGAAAACTGATGTTGAATGCATGACAGAGGTGACGAGAACATAATGTTTAATCCCTTGGAGCTAGCAGCCTTTTTCGAGCTTTTGGAGGAGCTGCTGTTGGGCGGGGCGGTCGAGCGCGTGAAGTTGCTTACTTTGTCCATGCCTCTGTTTACCTCATCTGAGACACGACCGACGATCTTTTCAAGTTTAGTTCCCTGCACGGTCACCTGCTCTTGTGACTTGCTCTTTGGCCGTGCAATCCAGGCCTCTTTCCTCCCTTGACATCAGTCTTTCTGTCTGCCCTTCCTCTGCTTGAAACCGCGAAGGAACTGCGAAGATGAAACAGACAGCGGCAATTACGACACCCACAAGGCGCCAACCCGAAGTTGCAACCCTAAGTCAATCTCGGATTCGGTTCTCAAGACCCAGTGTGCGATCTCCGCTGAGTACCAGAAGAAATGCACCGGTTCATGTTGAACAAACAGGGAGTCCTTCTAGAAGCAGAGAAGCTTCGCCTTTGACACTACCATACATAGACCTCGAAGCTGCAAACCATGGCGAGGGAGCTGGCGAGCGGGACATATCCGAAGAATTGGTGGAAATGCGCACCTGGATTAGGAAAGAAGCAGATGGACCAGTCGATAAGGAGGATGGATTCAGTATGAAAGACGTTACTCCACGGAGAAGAGTAGTACGGAAATGTGCGTTTCCGGGTAATAGCGGTGAGCAGCAAGAAGGTACTGATGACAGGCTCTGGATATTTCGACAGCCAATGAGGACCGCCAGGCAGGCCCACCGAGCTTTGCCCGATCAGAGTTTGAAACTGTATGGGCATCTGCTGGGCATCTGCAAATCTCCTGCTTTCAGTGCTGACAATGAAGTCCCCCAGATCGTACGACACTTGAGGAATCGAAGTCCATATAAAGCAGCAACGTCAAAACCGAAATTTCCAAACAACTTGGATTACGCCTGGCAGTTTGCCGGTTGGGGCCAGTGGGTATCCTCTCCAAGACTGTGATTCAAGACCGACAACTGATGCTTGTTCCCTCAGGCTATCGTACCTGGACCTGACCGCCAAGGACTTGGAAGAGGCCGAAGCGCGCTTAGCAGTAGAGCTAAACCGACCCAAGCTGGACCAGTATCGTGCGACTTCGATAGCAGGTAATGCAGTGTGGGGATCAGTATTTTATTCGTGAGTGGTCGAAAACCTGTGGAAAGAACAAGTAATCTGACACTTTGGATGTTTCCGTAGTCTCCCAGCAATTTGTGCTGTTGCCGATATCTATTCGCCAATTTGCATGACCGTCGCTTGCTCCATATTATTCCTCTTTCGGCCTATCCTGCTTGAGTTAGGGAGTGCTGTTCGCGTCGATGGAGCCAGTGTGAGTGATTGTTCCCGAATTCACTGAGTAAGGGAGCCGTGCTCAGAAACCTTTTGACGGCAGTACGTGTATCTACTGAATTTTACAGCCAAAGGGTGGGCTCTATGTGCAGCTGCCGTCACTTTGATCGATGCGTACGTCAAGCCTTCAATGTAGTGAGATTACGTCTGGCCACCAAATCTAATGCAGAGCGAAAAAAAACAGAGTCGCCACTGGCGTAGTATCGGCAGCAACAGCAGCATCAGTCAGTATATCTTGTTCCCAACGCTCACCCACAAGCGCTTACATAAATGCCTTTTCAGTATATCAAAGGAGAAGTCAATTTGCCGTTCCCGGATTTGGTGCTCACCATAATCATCCTTGCCGCTTTCACGGGTCTCCTCCTATTTGGTATTCGTGAAAGCAGTAGTGTAACCTTAGGGATCTGTGCCCTGCATGTGCGTGAGCCTTCTGATTTAGTCTGGGCCATTCTCATTTGTGATGTCTCTCTTAGTGCCTTACAATACTGATACTAGTGATTACCGCTTCCGTACACTTGGCTACAACCGGTAGTGATGTCATGCTACGAAACTGGCAGACAAGCCCCTCTGGAAGCAGCAATATCGCGAAATCTATTTTCAACGGAATCTGCATCGGGCTCCTGGGAGTTACGGGCTTCGAATCTGCACCAACGTAAGACCAATCCGTAGTTTATACGTAGCCTTGCTCTAATCAGAAGATTTCGCCATTAACCTTTTAGATACATTTCGATAATCAGACTAGAAGCATATCCGGCTGTCTTGAGGAACCTGATTATTGGAGCGTTGATAATCAATATTTCAGTCTTACTGGTCACATATGCCGTGTTACCTTCTGAAATGATTAGCAATGGTGCCAACATACTCAGCTCTGTCGGGCAAGTGGCAGGTGGAACCTGGCTACGGAAGATTATTGTCGTCGATTCTGCCATCGTGGCAAGTAGATCCCTTTCTGCTTTTTTCGGCTGTCACTGATTGAGCCGCATCACAGCTCTGTGGAGGTGTACTGGTTAGTCTGCAGGTAGGAGGTGGAAGTTACCGAGAATCGATGCTTAGACGCTTCCACAATAGACCGGTGCGGTTACAACTTGTAGCCTGGTGGAACGTTTAACAGCGCAAGTTGATCGTCCTCTCGAAGCAAGTAATGCCTCACTTACTCCGCAAATTTGTCATCAGGGATCGAGCGTTACCAGCATTATTCAAGAAACAGATACCCAAGACGGGCAGTTTATGGGTCGCTTGCGCTCTTTATCTGGTTCTGTGCTTGGTCATATACTCAGCATCGAGCTTTCGCCTGACACAGGCCTCTAACTTGTTCAGTATGGCATTTGTGAGTGATATTTCGGCAACAAGAATTCTCGGCTATGTTCGCTAAGTGCTATTTGCTGTTTAGATGGCCGTTCTATTTTGCGTAAGCTCGATTCCACTCGAAAACAGTTGAAGCATACTGCGTTGTCTAAATCTCGTCTTTCAGTTTGGAGTTTGCGGCTTAGTGATCAAGATTTCTCGGAACAAGTTAAAGCGGTCGTACCATGCGCCTCTAGCAGTGGTCCTCTCAGCCAATGTGATTATGCTCGTCGCCATTGCCGGTAACATATCACAAAGGCAAGTTCTTGGGTCGAATCCACACGTTGGAACAAACGACTATGCTGACATCGGGCTGTTGTGTCGTAGCCCCATGATAGTGGCGTTGTTTGCAATTACCCTATTCTGTGTTATCTTTACCTTGCTGTCCTATCCAAGATTGACATCGTTCTATCGGTGGTTTGTGTACCTCTGCGAAAGAAGTGCATACTTGTCATCGAAGAAGCGGTTCCACCTCTGGAAGCTAGGAGCAATCCAGAAAATCAAGAACATGAAAGGCCAAGGGGTCGTTGTCTTCATGAAGCATGACACGGTACGTAGCTTTGCTTCTTCAGTAACGACTGCCAATGCTAAACAAGGCTGAAATTTCGTTCTAGATCTCGGCAATGGTTGAAGCTCTCATTTATGTTCGAAATAACGAAAACACCAGTCGTGTGGCCTTCGTTCACGCGTATGACTTGGTAGACGACATTCCGTGAGTTGCTTTGCTCCGTTTTCTCAAAATAACTGCGCGGTGTTGACGATTACCTCTCTTTCATGAAGGTCCGAACTTGTGGCAAACGCAAAACTGGTAGACGAGGCCTTTCCCGATATCACCGTTGATCTTTACCTGGTACCCTTGCATACGGGATTCACACCCAGCCTTGTCGAGGCCGTCTCCGCCAAGCTTCATGTACCAAAAAATCTGATGTTCATTGGCACAATATCTGCGGGTCACGACTCACCCTACGACCTGGGCGATTACGGGCTTCGAATCTTCAGGTCGTAGTGGGAGAGAGTTTGTTGTATGTACTTTTTGCGATTCTTCTCTATTATGTGGCCCAACATAGATAGTTTGCCACTAGATATTCCCATGGATAGGTTCTCGACCGTCCCATTCCTTGACCCCTTCTCAAGCTGAACGCATGCTCACGAGAAGCCCCCGAACTCTCGTGTGTCCCTATGATGGCTTGCAGTGCGATAACGAGGGAATAGGGGCGATCGTTGGTAGCTCTGGTCGTGAAACGAGAATGCAAGTGAGAGCTGTGATCCACCATCTGACCTCGGTCACTTCTGGGTGACAGCATATTTGAACTTTTCCTCAAGCACAAATTATCAAAACAGCTAGAAATCGACCTCAGTCGGGAGAATTCAGCATCTCCGTGTGGCGTCAGACACACTCCAGCATCAGTTCATCAATCTCTATCTCGCAACCTATCATCGCGCAAACGGCAAAGCGGGAAGATGGCCGTACAACGTCTCTTTGCGGAGCTTCAACACGGTATGTTGATGGAACTATCTTCCTTCTCCCCTGCATGGCCTGAATAATCGTGCCGAGCCCCTAATAACCTGTTGTGTGCATCTGTCATTATTATTAGCTTATTTTACAGTCACAGTTCAGCAAAGCACGATAGATCAATGGCGTAAGTACATCCTTTCCCAGTTCTATCATGTTGGCCACCCGTTGTTCCTTCTACTCTGATTTGTCCTGACACAACTCACTTGGCAGGAACTCACGGTGGTCGGACGACCGTCAGTGCAAGAACGGCGAAAGGGGATGAATGTGTGAGACTGGCTCCCTTCATTGGGCTTATTGACGGTTTCACTGGAAAACCAGCTAGAATTTCTCCTACATCGACTGCCGGTGGTTCTCAGGCGTCGCTAGTCGGAGAATCGGGAGACGAAGTGTCATCTCGTTGGAGACTACCAGTTTTGGTCTTCTGTGGAAAGGAAGATGAAGGACTGGGTCTGAAAGATGAGGAGTATCTGGGAGGACCACTGTGAGTATCATTTACTGTTCTCCATGTTCTCTTTGGTCTCTGAGAGTGTCCTCGATACGTCTCTATAGTGAACACGATGAAGCATGTGTGGTGAGCGACATCACGGGAACAAGCCCCTAGTCAACCCAGCTCTAACTCTTGTTGC